CCTGTGAACCGCTTTATGAATTTGTTAGTCCTTCCCTTCTAATGACCATTATCAGATCTTATTTATTTATTTATTTCCATACACTCGAGGTGTGCCATAAAAACTATAGAAAAAATACACTGTAAAAGGACCATGGTAGAAACTACAGATGGGCTCGACGCATTAAAGGAACGTTGATTGACCTAGATTTCGCACTGAGGTTAAACTGACTGGAACACATTGGATGCCATGCTGAAGTAATAAGTAAATATTTTATTTGTTCTTTATTACATTTAAGGAATGTGCCCTCTGCAAAAGTGAATCATGGCAAAATTGAAGCACACCAGATATCATCAATATGGATAGTGCAGTAGTTGATGTCAGAGGTGGCTTTCATTTTTTGTCATAAATTCATCATCATCATCAGGCATAAAAAATTATCAGCTGATATCACATCCTGTCACCTACCAATGAATGTTTTCGTCCCACCCCTATTTCACTGCTCGGAACCAACGTCCCACTGCTGCTGTGGCCCGCACTATGGACTGGGTGACCATCCCCTTTGGACGCCTCTTATCGAATCTTATCAACTGATATCACATCCTGTCACCCACCAATGGTGTTCCCGTCACACCCCTCCATCACTTCCTGGAATCAACGTTTCTCTGCCACTGGGACAGGTGTTATGAATTTCGTGACACACACACACACACACACACACACACACACACACACACACACACACACACACACACACACACACACACACACACACACACACACACACACACACACACCACACTTAGCGGATTATATACCAGGGATGCGAGGCCTAATGAATTCGACTCCCGTAGAGGTATTTCCGTTCACGATAGGCGGACCAATTTTGTATGAAAGGAAGTGAATCGCTGTTTTATGTTTATGGACCAATGTTCGATTCTGTGAGAACATAAAATGAGGTTAATATCGTTGCCGAAATAAATATTCTGACTTCAGCAAGTATTCGCAATTCCTCTAAGTAGTAACGGAATCGAGTAATCGGAAGTAATCGGAATCGAGTGTATTTTTTGGCCACCCTGTATATAATCGGCCAAGTTCGTCTGTACGTGTTGTGTGCGTGCGTGTGTCCGTCTTTCTGTCACGAAATTCATAGTGCGCGTCGCAGGAACGGTGGTTCAGTTTCAAGAAGTGATAAACAAGGCAGGACCAGAACACTCCGGTGGAAGGCAGAAAGCGGTTACAGCTAATAAAAACTACTAACAGGCTGTAGAAGAGGAGGGCCATACATCATAGCACCCGTGGCAGCAGAAGTAGGAAGTTAGTTTCAGCAAGCGATATAATGGGGCTGGAGCATTAATGATGAATAAAAGAGAAAAGATCACAACGATAGGGATTGGCAAGCGGTGTTGTTGCCATCGCCGCTCGTTGAGCGATGGGATTTCCACGCAGCGAAGTCATGAAGATTCAGGGACACAGGAATCGATAACACTTTACAAATAATGACATCAGTTGGTAAGACGTAATAAGAGGATCCTACTACATTTCTCAAGTCTACATTGTTGCGTCTGTAACCTAAGTATTTGAGGAGTTGGTGTTCAATGTCAACTCATTCTTTTATCCACTGCCAAACCAAGTGAATTGAAATCGTACGCTGACGCTAGCTGCACTTCTACCCAATGCTGGATGTTGGCGGGGGGGGGGAGGTGTTTTGTGCGCCTGAAATGGAAGGAAAAAACAGCAAATTTTTTGGATGCCGGATACCTTCTGCTTTGCCACAAAGGTAACGCATTAGGGAGGTCGATCGCCATCAACTGAAAAGAAGAAAATGGGTGAGTTATTCACAACGAAAAGCTGCTGTCCATGATGAGCTCCAGATTCCCCGTGTGATGCACGGCTTGCAGGAACAGCGCAAAATTAAGTTCTTTTTTACTACCGGAGCGCGCAGTGCGGCGTTAAAAAGCAGTTATCAAATGGAAAACAACTTCTTTTTTTACCGCCAGTGAAGGAATTTCAGTTGTTCCTCTTCTCAGGAAGCAGGGCGTTATGTGCACATTACACCTCAGGACTACTTCAAATTTATCTATTTATCATAACATTATAACGTTCATAATAATATCGTGAATTCTCCTCAAGGAACATCACGGTGGAAAGATAGATTTCAAGAGAGGGATTTGAAGTTGTAAATAGTTTGTGCTTTGAAGCTTTCAGTTTTCAACTTTTCTTTCTGCATTTTCGTGCATACAACGCGGAGACCTAGCGTACATAGGAAAAGCGGACCATGTGGTGACGGCTAGAGATTTCTCAAATGATTCGAAGCCATTTCGCTAGCCGTCGAGTCGTGAAACAAGGACATGCTCTGGGATTGCGCACAGCTCCACTATGTGCACAGGCCTCTGCGCGCCAGGTAATCGCGGACGCTGTCTTTGACTGATCTTTGGTAATGAGAAACAATTACAAGTAACTGGAAAGTATCAAATATGCCATTTTACGAGGGGGCCTATAAGAACTTCCTCTTTTATCAAAAAAAGAAATACCAGCTCAAACTACTAATACAGTATTCATAAAAAAGGTTATAGTTGGACGCAGTCAATAGGTATGAAAAACAGGAACAACGGGTCTGTGTGATAGCTTTTCTAGAACATGCATTTAATCACCCTGTATAACGGACGCAGTAAGTGTAACAAGTACATATACAAGTACGAAATTATATTCAGCTTCTTCTGCCAAGTACGCATTGCGGTACCCTTCGAGACCACTTGCCAGCTCCTATACACGTCAGAACGTTTTCGGCGTTTAGCTTATATTCGTGCGATGGGCAGTAAAAGACGATCTTCTCGCCTACAAGATAGTAGTCCTTAGGAGGTGACGTTGACGCACCATGCACAGGTACACCCGGATGTCGGCAGAACGCTGCGCCTAAACTCGTTGTTTACAGTGAAGGCACTGAGAAAGCACCGAGACAAACGAACATTTTGTGATAAATTCCGTCCATTTACCATTTGCTTGACAAACCACGAAGTCACCACCAGTCAACATGTGATTCGGAAGGCAACCGAAAAGCAGAACATCGCCACGATGATAATCCGTTCGTGGTGGCGACAGGAGAACCGCATTGGGTGGCGGCTCGATATGATCACATTTTACAACTGAAACAACCAAAGACTTTTTCCTTGTTGAGATATGTTTCAATTTTCCTCTTGTTGGCAACCTGAGTGGCTCACTTGAGACATGCTACACCATCCCCCCACGCCTCCTTCCATCTTCTCATTTAACGGCATGTTAGAGACCTATTGGTGCACCCAGAACTTTGAAGGCACTATGAGCTCAGATATAGAACCTCGCTACAGTGACGCTACTTTTGAGTGACGACAAAGACCCACTCGACGAGATACTATTAGGTTGGCGGGAAGTTCTGTCACATTTTTTCAAACAACGGCTTTCTTTTTATAGAGAGGCGTGTAAGATCAAAATTATACAGCAATGTTACTGCGG